TTATCAATTTTATTATTATTATTAATAATAGTAATAAACTAAATGGCTGACGTAAATCTTCCAATATTTTTCAACAGTTAAGAAAAGAAAAAGAAAAGAAAAAAACAGTGTTTGACAATGTTAAACAATATTTCAATTTGTCTTTTTCAAGTTATATTTAAACATTTTTCAAGTATAAAACTATAAAATATATTATGTATTTTTATATATTTATATATATATATATATGTATATATATATATTTATATATATATATATATATATATATTTATATATATATATATATATATATATATTATATATATATATATATATATATATATATATATATATATATATATATATATATATATATTTATAAAAAAGTTGTTTTAAATATAACTTGAAGGAGATATTCTAGTGAAATATTTAATATTGTAAAACACTGTGCCTTTTTTCTTTTCTTTTTTTTTATTAATAATTAATAATAATAATAATAATAATAATAATAATAATAATAATAATAATAAATTCGAAATCTTAAAAATGTGGCACATGGAAACAACAACAATCCTTGTTGTAGTTGGAGCCCTTGGATTGTTTGGAAAAGACTCCAGTAGACTCATTGAAGCGATTCCTGGAAGCCCATGCCTTAAAGAAATAAAGTGTTTTTTACACAAATGTTTTGTAGAAAATGTGATAATATCATTTTTGACCTTAAGTTTCTGGTTGGGAACCAGGCGAACATGACTATAAAACAGAAATCAAAGATAATAATAATAATAATAATAATAATAATAATAATAATAATAATAATAATAATTACATAGCAGTTCCTGCCGACTATCAAAGTACAAGGATCTTGAAGTGGAAATTTCAAAAATGTGACACGTGAAGACATCAACAATTCCAGATGTAGTTGAAAACCTCGATTTTGATTGGAAAATGTTCTGAGAGACTCATGGAAAGAAATCCTGGTAGCCCAAACCTTAAAGAATACAAAAATTGTACTCACTAGTACAACTCAAGCCTTACGGATGGCTTTATCCATATAAAATGTGTGCAATCATTTTTTTTTTTAAAAGCTCAGTGGAGAATGTCACGATTGCCATTTCTGACCTTAATTCTCTGGTTGGGATCCGGAAAGAAATTAGTATACACCAAATATAAAAGGAAATAATAATAATAATAATAATAATAATAATAATAATAATAATAATAATAATAATCTCTGTTGTAGTTGGAGCCCTAGGACTGGTTGGAAAAGATTTCAGTATACTAATTGAAGGGATTCCTGGAAGTCCATGCCTCAAGGAGATACAAAAAATTGTTCTGACAAGTACAGCCCACACTTTACAAAGGGACCCGGAAAGAAATGTGTAAACGCCAGAAATCAAAGAAAATAAAAATAATAATAATAATAATAATAATAATAATAAGGAACTTGAAATAGAAATCTAAAAAATGTGGCACATGGGAACATCAACAATCCCTGTTGTAGTTGAAGCCCTATGATTGGTTGGAAAAGATTCCAGTAGACGAATTGAAAGGATTCCTGGAAGTCCATGCCGTAAAGAGATACAAAAAATTGTTCTCGCAAGTACAGCCTACACTTTACGAAGGACTTTATCTATGTAATTTTTTTTTTCTCAGTGGAAAGTGTCATGATGCCATTTCTAACCATGATGCCGTTTCTGGTCGGAACCCGGAAAGAAATGTGTAAACTCTAGGAATCAAAGGCAATAATAATAATAATAATAATAATAATAATAATAGTAATAATAATAATAATAATAATAATATGGGTATAATATGTGTGATCTTATGATCTTAGTTTTATTTTTACAAAAATTATCAGTGGAAAATAACATGCAGCCATTTCTGACCTAAGGTCTCTGGTTGAGACCTAGAAGAAGATGTGTATACAGCAGTAATCAAACGAAATAATAATAATAATAATAATAATAATAATAATAATAATAATGCTCTGATGTTGCACTAGGCATAGCTCTCATGCTTTTTGATTTTAACCGATTGGAGATATTAATATGTTTGTCTTGGGCAATTAAGATGGGCTACAGTAAATATCCCTTTCTGTATCGCAAAGTTACTTGTCACTTGTCTGATCTTAACTAGTTGGACATATCCTCTAGGCGCTGACGTACTGTGCAACTCACTTTGTGATCGAGTATTGTTGAGTGAAGTGTCATGACGGGATGTCAACAGGGCTTTTTTTTTTTATTTAAAATTTGAAGGAGATGGCAGCCAAGTCAGCTTGGGTGTGGCATCTACATTCTTGAGAACACCCTCAATTGGAGACCGTCTAAGCGGAGCTGCTAATGTGTGGGCTCTACTTGTGAGAACTATTAATATTATCATCTTTATTTTATTTCATTTGATTTCTGATGTGTACTCATTTCTGACCGCGTCCCGCCAAGAGATCTAAGGTTAGAAATGGCATCATGACATTTTCCACTGGAAAAAAAAATCCATAGACAAAGCTTTTCGTAAAGTGTGGGCTGTACTCGTGAGGACAATTTTTTTGTATTTCTTTAAGGCATGGCTTCCAGGAATCTCTTCAATGAGTCTACTGGAATCTTTTCCAACCAATCCGAGGGTTCCAACTACAACAGGGATTGTTGATGTTCCTATGTGCCACATTTTTTAGATTTCAATTTCAAGGTCCCTGTATTTTAACAGCTTTTTAAAGATCTTCAAAGATACATTGCAGTCTGCAGGTGCTGGCATATCAATAAGGAGGCACTTTTTTGTTTGCGACCTCTGGGTGGTTAGCTTTGATTGTTCTGTCAGTGTGTATCGTGTAGTCCCATAGAATTGTAACAGGTCCTATCCCCATAACCGGATCTGGGTGGTGTTTATACCAATTTCTTTCAGTTTCCTTCCCGTAGAAGTTATAGATTTTCCAGTGCAGATATTGGCCCACTCTCTTATGCCGGGTTTTATATTTAGTGGCAGCCAATACCGTGCAACCTGGTACAAGATGATCGATTTTTTTCTGGGACAAGATGATCGATTGTTTCTGGGTTATTATTATTATTATTATTATTATTATTATTATTATTATTATTCCAATGGATTTCTGTTGTGTACATATTTCCTTCCGGGACTCAATCAGAGACCTTAAATCAGAAATGGCTTCATGACATTTTCCACTGATTATTTTTGTTAAAATATAAACCCAAAAAACATCAGATCACTCACATTTTATATAAGAAAAGCCCTTCGTAAGTTATGAGCTGTACTTGTGACTACAATTTCTTTTCTATTTTTCTAATGTAGGGTCTACCAGGGTTCCTTTAATTTGTCTATCGGAACCTTTTCCTATCAATCTGAGGGAATCTGGAATTATTGATGGCCTCATGTGCCATATTTTTTAGATTTCCACTTGAAGTAACTTTTGATAGTTTTTTTTTTTAAGAATGTCTGTTATGGTTTATTTGAACTTCTTTAAATTCCCTTTTGAATTTCTTGGCTTCTTTTATTACTGAACCAAGTTTGTAATTTTATTCATGTTCTTAGGCGCAGATCATCATCCCGTCTTGTTTATACGTTTTACGATTCCATTTCATTTGCTTTCTTTTTATTAATTGATTTGGCATTGAGTCACCACGTCCAATGTTGTATTTCATCTGGTTTTGATGACCAAGTGCCTCATTGTTGACAGAAGAGTTTGTTCCAATGACAGATTTTTCGATCCCAGATTCGTTCCTCTCTAAGGGACCCGGTCCTTATTTAGCCGGGAGACGACCGATCCGGTATTAATCTTTGTTTTTAAACATTTAGATTGGTATATATATATATATATATTTTTGCATTTTGTCCTTAACGGCCAAAGGCTATTTTTTTTCAAGACAAAACCTCCAGGAAAACTGTCGGCCAAAATTCTCCATCTCTCAGTGGTTTCGATTTTGTCCTTCTTGCATATCTTCTAATACGCATATGTCGATACGTTGTTATGTTTTTATATATATATATATATATATATATATATATATATATATATATATATATATATATTCTGCTGTAATATGGCCGACAGTTTCATCATACTTTCCGCAGATCCTGCATTTCGGGTTAGTTCCATCCTTGTTTATGTGACAGTGATAGGATGTGTTTGCGAGTCTTTGGTCCTGAGCTGCAAAAATTAGGCTCCTGTCTCAGCTTTCAACTCGGTGCTCCTCAGCCACTGATGTGTTTTATGTTGGTCCATATCTGCATTTTTTGATTTTTTTAGGTGTTTGTCATGCAACACTTTGTCGTCCCATTTATTTTACTTTCATTTGGCCAAGTTGTTTTGCTTTCTCTTTTACTCGTTTAGTGGAGATGACATTCGTTTCGTATTTTGATGATATGGTTTCAGGTATATTAAACTGTTTCTTCTTCTTCTTCTTCTTCTTCTTCTTCTTCTTCTTCTTCTACTACTACTACTACTACTGCTACTACTACTACTACTTATTATTATTATTATTATTATTATTATTTCGATATTTTTAGATTCTTTGCTTGATACAAGCCTTCACCAAGTCTTTTCCGTAAAACCTGAGTTAAAAGAAGGTTTTTCTCATTGAGAATGATTTTTTGAATCTGGAAACAATGCGCATGCGCCCAATCTTTTGTATATCAGAAAGTGAGAAGGTCCTAAAATTTTCTTAATGCGTATATCAGTATTTTGTAAATCGTTCTTAGTGCTCCTGTTATTATTAGAATAGTAGTTCGAAGATTGACTCGTTCTTCTTCTTTTTCTTCTTTTATTATTATTATTATTATTATTATTATTATTATTATTATTATTATATTTAATTATTATTATTATTGTTGTTGT